GGAGGAGGAAGAAGATTCTGTGACCCGGCTACAGAAAACGAATCGCTTTTCCCTGTTTTTTCCACTTTTTTTTTGTTTTTGTTTTGCGTGTGTCGAACCAAGGGAAAACTCGGCAGTATTTTAGTAGCCGCGCGGTCAGGCAGGCGCCTCCGAGTCTATTTGGACCTCGCCAATACCAACACGACCTCCACTACCAATACCAACAGCACAGTCACTACCAACATCGGTGGCAGGACGGGGCACGGACAGACCCAACCGGGGCGAAGTGTTGCTATAGACCTTAATATCAAAACGAATTTAGTGCCGCGGTGAAGTGACCGGTGCGATCTCAGGAGTTTGGTGACGGATCTTGCAAAGAGTAAATACCTTTTTGTGTGGTGAGAGTAACAGTGAGTTTGCGTCGTAGCAGGAAAGTATAGAGTGTCTGATACTATCATTAAACCGGTGTTACTGTGTAGACGTAGTGGCCTTGAGCAGTGTTAGCGAAGGGAAACAGCATACTCGGAACCCAGTTTATACTCCGCGCAATATATCTACAGTATGAGTGAGTTAGTATACTCCGAATAGCATAACCAAGGCAGTTACTCATATTTTGTGCAGTTTATCTACAAGTGAGTTATAGTACCCTGTATATTATAGCCATGCCAGTAAATTGATATACTCAAAGAAAATTTATACAGTGTATCTAAACCAGTGAGTTAGCCAAGCCAATAAGTGAACATACGTTGTGAAAATATATGAATCTAAGCCAGTGAATTAACATTTCTAGAGAAAATGTATAGATTTAAGAAAATGAGTTCACATACCCAAATAAAGTATTTAAAACTAAGCCAATTGAATTAACATACACAAAGAAAGCATATAAAACTAAGCCAGTGTGTTAAGATGACCAAAGCAACATTCCTTTTTTGATGATGCGATAGCCCGAGCAAAAACTTTTGGCCCGGCGGTCACTTGCAACCTATCTGTAAATACGTAAAACTAAGCCAATGGGTTAACGTACCCCGCGCAAATACATAAAACTAAATCAGTGAATTAACATGCACTAAGAAAACATAACATACCCACAAACAACATCCCTTTTCCCCCCAAGAAGTGATCGCACAAAGAAAAAGTTTTTGGTCCGGCGGTCGCTCGCAATCTGTCCCGTGGATCAAAAATTTCTCTTCCGGGAGAAAAGCGCGCGAAGGTTAACCGTCGGAGGAAAGACAATCCAATTCCACTCACGGCGAGAGGAATAACTAGGGCGATTTGTTACTGTGAAATTCAATTTTGGTGGAGGAGAAGAGAAGGGAGAGAGAAGAGAAAAGAGAGAGAGAGAGAGCGGGTTTAAAAAATAAGATAAAGGATACAAAATGGTCGTTTTTTTCAATTGAATCGGGATAAAAATTTCGCTTCGGTTGCCCGGTGGAATAACAAAATTCAATCTGTCGTTTTCTAAGGCTTGCGTTAAAAGGATGATGAAACGGAGATGAGATGGAGGGTTGGGGGTTGGGGGAGGGGGGGGGTCAGGGGTGGGGGATGGGGGGGGGTCAGGGGTTGGAGGGCGGAGGGGAGGAGGAGGGAAGAGGGAGGAGGGAGGAGGATGAGGATGGAGGGAGGAGGAGGGGAGGAGGAGGGAGGAGGGAGGAGGAAGGTAGGAGGAGAGGAGGAGAAGAGAGAAAAGAGAAGAAGAAGAAGAGGAGGAGGAGAGGAGAAGAAGAAGAAAAAAAAAGGAAGAGGAGATGGAGGAGGGAGACGGAAAATGAAGAGTAAAAGTAAGAAAAAAAGGAGAGAAGGACAAAGCGAGGAAGTAAGAAAGGAGGAAATGAAGAAATGAAGGGAAAGAAAGGAAGAGAAAGGCGAAGACATGAGGAAATTGGAGAAAAGACAAGGACGGGAAAAAGAGGAGGGAGAAGTGAAGGAGAAGGAGAGGAAGAAAAGAGGAAGGAAGGAAGGGAGAGAGACAAAGTATAGGAACAAAAAGGGATAGGAAGACAAGAAAGAAAAAAAATAGAGAAACAAGAGGAAAACGAAAATAACGAAGAATGAAGAAAAAGACGAATAAAAAAACAAACAAACAAACAAAAACAAAAACAGAGAAACAGAACGAGAAAAAGAGGGAAAAAGGGAGAAGGGGAGCGGAGTCAGAGAAGGGGGGGATGGGGGTGAGGAAGGAGGGGAGGTGGGGGGGGGGGTTAGGGGATCGTGTCAGCCCTCTGTCAGTGTCATAAACGTCAAGGGAGATTCAAGGGCGCGACGAGAGAGGTCGTGGAAGCAGCCTCTCTCTTCCGGAAGATGCGAGAAGGACACGAACTACACTCGGGGATATGTCTCGTTGAGGAAAGGGTGGAGAGATAGATAGATAGATGGGAGAGAGAGGGTGGGAGGGAGGGAGAGAGAGGAGAGAGAGAGAGAGAGAGAGAAGGGAGAGAAGGAAGGGAGAGGAGAGAGGAGGGAGGGAGGGGGAGAGGAGGAGAGAGAGAGAGGAGGGGAGAGAGAGAGAGAGAGAGAGAGAGAGAGAAGAGAGAGAGAGAAGAGAGAGAGAGAGAGAGAGAGAGAGAGAGAGAGAGAGAGAGAAGAGAGAGAGAGAGAAAGATAGGGAGAGAGGAGGGGTAGGGAGGGAGAGAAGAGAGAGAGAGAGAAGGGGAGGAGGAGGAGAGGGAGAGAGAGAGAAAAAGAGATAAGAGAGAGAGAGAGGGAGAGAGAGAGAGAGAGAGAGGGGAGAGAGAAGAGAGGAGCCAGAGGGGAGGAGAGGAGGAGCGGAGAGAGGAAGAGAGGGACGGAGAGAGAGAGAGAGAGGAGAGAGTGGAGAGGGAGAGGAGAGGAGGAGAGAGAGAGAGAGAGGAGAAGGAGAGGAGAGAGAGAGAGAGAGAGAATTAGGAGAGAGGAGAGGGGGGATGGAAGGAGGAGAGAGGAGAGAGCGGAGAGAGAGGGAAGAGGATGAGGAGGGGAGGAGGGGGAGGAGAGATGAGGAGAGGGAGAGAGGGGAGGGGGAGGAGGGGAGGAGAAATGGAGAGGAGAGGAGGTAGAGGAGAGGATGACGAGAAGAGAAGACGAGAAGAGAGACGGAGGAGAGTGGAGGAGGGGGAGGAGGGAAGGCGAGAGGGAGAAAAAGAGAGAGAGGAGAGAGAGAGAAGAATGAGAACTCGAGAATCCGACGAATAATCATGGCTGTGACCGAGACGAGAGGAAAGTAGAGAGAGAGAGAGAGAGAGGAGAGAGAGAGAGGAGAGAGGAGGGAGGGCCGAGAGAGGGAGAGGAGAGAAGAGAGATGGAGAGAGAGGACGGGAGGGGGAGGAGAGAGGAGGGGGAGAGAAGGGGAGAGAGAGAGAAGGAGAGAAGAGAGAGAAGAGAGAGAGAGAGGCGAGATGAGAGAGACGGAGAGAGAGAGAGAGAGGGAGGGAGGAGGGAGGGGAGGGATGTTGAGGGAGGCGAGAGATGAGAGAAAAAAAGAGGACGAGAGAGAGATGAGAGATAGAGAGAGAGAAGAGAGAGAGAGATGAGAGAGAGAGAGAGAGGGGAGGATCACAGATGGGAACGAGAAGCCCTTACAGACGTGATGATAGACGACTCAGAAGACCACGAGGAGAAGAGGAGGAAGAAAGAGGAGAGATGGGAGGGAGGGGAGGAAGGGAGGGAGGAGAGAGAGAAAAAGAGAGGAGAGAGAGATACGGAGAGAGAGAGAGAGAGACGAAGGAGAGAGAGAGAAGAGAGAGAGAGGAGGAGAGAGAGAGAGAGAAGAGAGAGAGAAGAGAGCAAGAGAAGAGAGAGAGAGAGACAGGGATAGAGAACATTACAGTACAAACAGACAGACAGACAGAAAGTCAGAGACAAAGCAAAGACAAAAACAGAAACAGAGAAAAAAACAGATTAAAGAAAACAGAAAACCCAGGAGCATAAGGAGATCGAGTCGACAGACAGACAGACAGGACAGATCAGACAGACCCAGACAGAGAGCGAGGACATTCCGGCGACATTTAAACCCGCGGCTGATAATGGAAGGCAGACACCGCACTTGACAGGCCAGCGGGAAATTCCACATGACGCTGTATTGTTACCTGGATGTAGTGATGGCTGGACGCGAGGTCGTGTTTTGGAGTGCATGGCCGGGAGGGAAGAGGGAGGGATAGAAAGGGAGGGAAGAGGGAGGGATAGAAAGGGAGGGATAGAAAGGGAGTGGACGAGGGAGGATAGGAAAGGGAGGAAGAGGAGGGATAGAAAGGAGGGATAGAAAGGGGGAAGAGGGAGGGATAGAAAGGAGGCTGTGGAGAGGGAGGAGGAAAGGGAGGATAGAAAAGGATGGAAGAAGGGAGGGATAAAGGAAGTGGACGAGGGAGGGAAGAGGGAGGATGGAAAGGGATGGAAGAGGGAGGGATAAAAAGGGGGAGAGGGAGGGATAGAAAGGGAGATGGATGGACGAGAGGAAGAGAGGAAGGGAAGAACGGTCAGGAGGAAGAGGGATGGATAGGAAAGGAGGGATAAAAGGGAGTGGAGAGGAGGGATTGGAAAGGGAGGGAAGAGGAAGGGATAGAAAGGAGTGGAGAGGGAGGGATAGAAGAAGGAGGGAAGAGTGGAGGGATAAAAGGGAGGAAGAGGGAGGTTGGAAAGGGAGGATAGAAAAGGAGGGATAGAAAGGGAGATGGGATGACGAGGAAGAGAGGAAGTGGGAAAGAAACGGTCAGGAGGGAAGAGGGATGGATAGATAAGAAAGGGAAGAGGAGGGATAGGAAAGGAGGAAGAGGAAGGGATTAAAAGGAGTGGAGAGGGAGGGATAGAAGGGAGCGGAAGAAGGGAGGGATAGAAAGGGGGATAGAGGGGGAGGGGAAGAGGGAGGGATAAAAAAGGGGGAAGAGGGATGGACGAAGAGGAAGAGAGGAAGTGGGAAGAACGGTCAGGAGAAGAGGGGGGATAAAAAGGGAGGTAGGATTAGAGGAAGAGAGGAAGTGGGAAGAACGATTGGTTAGGAGGGATAAAAAGGGAGTGAGAGAGGGAGGGATAAAAAGGGAGATAGGATTGACGAAGAGGAAGAGACGAAGAGGGAAGAAACGATGGTGAATTAGGAAGAAGAAGGAGGATAAGAGGGAGAGATAGGATGGAATTGGATAAAGAGGAAAAAACGATGGTCAGAGAGAGAAAGATAAACAGGGAAATGAGATGGAACTGGATGAAGAGGAAGTGAGGAAGAGGGAAGAACGATGACCAGGAGAGAAGTGAGGATAAACAGGGAGATTGGACAGAATTGGATAAAAAAGAAGAGGGATAGAAGATTGACGATTCGGGATTTAGGATTAGGGGTGGGGGGCAATAGGTCGATGTAGAAAGGATAAGGATAATTAGAAAAGGAAGATAAAGGAGGAGAGGGAAGAGGAGGATAAGGATGAGAAGAAACGGAAGATGAAGGAGGAGGTTAAAGATGAGGAGAAACGGAAGAAGAAGGAGGAGATAGAGGAGGAGGAACAAGGAGAAGAAGAAATAGACGAATAGAAAGACAGGAGCTAAGGAGAGAGGAGAAAAAAAACAGGAATTGAACAAGAGATAATTGAAAGAAAGTAGACAAGAAACAATAAATAAACGAAATAAAAATAAAAATATGAGGGAAAACACACATACAAAAAAGAAAACAAACACA